TCCTAAGTTAATGGATGGTAACATGCGCATTTTCTTATATGAACACATAAACGCAAAAAGGCTTGACATTAACGTCACCGAGAATACTTTACAGTCTCCTTGTTACAATGTTGATGTCAAACCTTCTATATTGCTCTACAGAATGAAAACATATGGCACACAAAAGATCTGAAGACATGTGTGAGTTTATTGGTGAATGTTGACGGGAGCTACCAATGTAAACTCTGTCCGGAATCAAGCTCACGGCGTCACAATGTCAGGGAAGGTCATATACACAGGCATACACGAAATGCTGTCAAAATTGGTGGTATGTACAAGTTAATATTGTTGGGTTGTTTAAACTAGTAATGGTATCTCAGTATTCATTCGGTTCTAAAGGTATCTATAACATAACCTCAAAGCCACAATGCTGATATGTTTTTTGACATAACTGTTGATACTCTAGTAATTTGTGTCTTTGCAGATGTTTGGGTGTTAAACTGTTTTTTGGAATGCATTCCAAAACAAGACAGGGGACATTACCACTGCCCATGTGGTAAAGTTTTCCGAAGAAAGTTCTCTCTTGTTCGACATAGGAACACCGTTTGCCCAATTGCTCAGGCAAAATCTGCAAATGTTCAAGAGAAAATGACTTCTTCCCAATCACAGAGCATCCAAAAAGTACAGCGAGACCAAGATCCGAAAGAGACATGTTTCATCTGTAATGCCCTGATCTCGAAAAAGAATATCAAAAGACATGCAAAGAAACACAATGCGCGGGATGACTTGATACACCATCGTGGGATTTGCGTTGATAAACAGCGCGGTCTGTTCATGATAAGCAAGTCAAGAACTGGTCCAGACTACCCACTGCATGTGCAAATGAACACTGTAACTCAACAGATGCAATGTGAACATGAACACTGCAATTTAGGTTTGGGTGTTGCAGCAAGAGGCAATGTAGGTACTTATCAGTGCCCCCATTTGCAATCAGTTATGTTTGCAAGTGCATGTCCCAAAGAAGTGCGTCTTCAGTCAGACTATGCAGAAAATCTTTGTCAACAGAAGGTAATAAATTCAGCGAGCATGGAAATTGCCAAGAAGCTCGTTAATACGGCCGAGAAACACAAAAGCCCTGTTGTCGTTTTATGGGAGCAGAAACACTCTGTAAACTGCCTTTATTTCTCTGTTTATGATGAAACGAAGGAATATTGGGCTAAACTCGGTCGCGCTGTAGTAACATTCACAAAGGAAAGAGGACAGCTAAATTGTGTTTGTTGCAAAACCACCAGATCTTGCGTACACAAGAATCTTGTCAAATGGTATTTGGCACAAGAACACCCAGAGTTGCTGAGCAGTACTGCTGAGAACAACACGGATATCACCGTGTGAAACTCTGGTCTGTTTTGAGTATCTCTTTTATCTAATTGTTCAACAGTAAAACAAATGGCAGGGACCTAGCACTCATGAAGAGTGAGTGATTGAGTGAGTTTGGGTTTACACTGCATTCAGTAATATTCCATATATGGCGGCGGTCTGTAAATAAGTCGAGTCTGGACCAGACAATCCAGTGGTCAACAGCATGAGCATCTACGCAATTGGGATACGATGACATGTGTCAACCAAGTCAGCAAGCCTGACCACCCGACCCCGTTAGTCGCCTTCTCATGAAGAACCAAATTCTAAAGGCACAGCATCTCGGAATTAAACCTGTTTACCTTCGTGATGTGATTGAGACATCCAAGATGAAATCTAGTGAGGATGATCTTGTATGTAGAAATACCCAGAACATCTTCAAGCGTAAGACAGATGCTGGCCTTTTCACTTCCATTGAACAGTTTGTTTAAAAAAAGGTGGTTATCTATATCCTCTTCCCATATTATACAAATGGAAACTTTTGAATTTGGCAGATAAGTTCAAATTCATAAATAATTTTGTTGGTGTTCCACACAGATCTTGCACCTTGGTCATCTAGTGTCCAAGTGACATTGTGGGCTGCAAGTTTCCCAACAGTAAAATGTTAGGCAGTAGGGGCACTTGACTGGCCCACATGAGGTGATGACAGCATGGAGATAGGACAGGGCTTAACAGGAAGGCCAATAAATATGCCTTTCACTTATAGCGTTATCTGATGGTTGTATGATGTGACTTCTAATTGATAATGACCCCAGCACGTGTAGCCTCAATGCAGATGTTCTTAGTCTCTGAATCTCTGGTCTCCCTAGGGCTCCTTTTCAATATAAATGGGCTTGTTTGTTACTATCAAAATTATATATATTCAGAGACTAAGCCTTAGTCTATACTGCTGAGAACAACACGGATATAGGCAGCGTAGATAAAGGGGTATCAGTTGACCATTACTCAAGCGAGGAACCAATACCATCATAACCATGGAAACCCGACCCTTACGAGCATCGGGAAGCAGGTTGTGCGAGGCATATCCACCGTCTGGACGTGGTGCACGCTTAATGGTAAATTACCTAACGTCTCAGAAGAAAATACCACCAGAATTCAAACTTCCGGAAAATACACAGTTAGGACCTGTAGAAAACTTGGCACCAATCGAAACACAATGTGCAATGTGTGGAAATGAAGACCTTGACCAGTATCTGGTAACCAGAAAAGGGAAAATATATGATAAAGATCATGTGTACACAGGTATGTATGCTGAAGTGAAATACTGAATTATGCAAACTATTAATGTTACCTCTAAACCACAAATAACAATACAATTATAAGAAGCCAGTAATTTTTCGACGGACGGTGTCGGTTGGGTGATGTGAGGCGATTATGCCTGGAAACCGTGCATTCTGGACTAAATAGAAATGATGTGAAGGATGTGAAGGTTCTCAGATTACATAAAATGTGGTCATATAAGTGTTATCAACCTTAAACAAATAATACATTTCCCGTTTTGCTGATAAAACGATATTTTTAACTAATAATTCTTAAAAACACATGATACATGTTTAACGAAGTGAAGAACATTGCAAAAGTTTTTCATTTCACGCAAGAAGTCGGCGCGAGATTTCTGTTGACAGCTGGTGAGATACGGGCGGGTCGAGTTACCTCCAGCCGCAGCCTGAGAATACAATGACGGAGACTGGCCGCCAGCCTAGGTAACCCAACCCTCCACAGGTTCTCGGTGACTGGCTCTTCACAGTGACTCCCGGCACACGGCACATGGGAGCCAACCCCCTATGTAAACATGATTTAGTTCCGAGTAGTAAATATTCCGGTTCGGAATAAATGCCGTGAAATTGAGAATGGATGACACGAATAAAAATTCCGCACATACGGCAAATATTCCATCGAACAGGAACAAATACCGTAGGCCTAACCTATTCCAGTCATTATTGAATGCAAAATGGACTCATCCAACTTGTCAACATCCGGGATGTCTACCAACTGTAACTTGGTTACATGTTGACTGTAACCTGGCTACTAACTGTAACTTGGTTACATGTTGACTGTAACCTGGCTACTGACTGTAACTTGGTTACATGTTGACTGTAACCTGGCTACTGACTGTAACTTGGTTACATGTCGACTGTAACATGGCTACTGACTAACTGTAACTTGGTTACATGTTGATTGTAATCTGGCTACTGACTAACTGTAACTAGGTTACATGTTCACTAACCTGGCTACTGACTGGCTGTAACTTGGTTGCATAGTGACTGTAACCTGGCTACCGACTAACTGTAACTTGGTTACATGTTGACTGTAATCCGGCTACTGACTGACTGTTAATTGGTTACATGTTGACTGTAACCTGGCTACTGACTAACTTGGTAACATGTTGACTTCAACCTGGCTACTGACTAACTGTAACTTGGTTACATGTTGACTGTAACCTGGCTACTGACTAACTGTAACTTGGTTACATGTTGACTGTAATCCGGCTACTGACTGACTGTTAATTGGTTACATGTTGACTGTAACCTGGCTACTGACTAACTTGGTAGCATGTTGACTGTAACCTGGCTACTGACTAACTGTAACTTGGTTACATATTGAATGTAACCGTGCTACTGACCAACTGTAACTTGGTCACATTATGACTGTAACCTGGCTACTGACTGACTGTAACTTGGTTACATGTTGACTGTAACCTGGCTACTGACTGTAACCTGATTAATGAAGGTAACTTGGTTACATAATAACAACTCTTTTTAACACAAGATTCATTTAGAATCATCAGTTCACATTCTAGGGAATTTACAATGTATTTTCATAAAAAAAATTAAGTAACTTTCACACGTGATAATTGCTTCTTGATAGCCACATGATTTGTTCCATATGTGTTTTTTCCTTTCCGTTCCCCCCCACGCCCCAATTTTTAAGACCACCCCAACAAACAAAACCCTCTTTTAGACACTTTATGATGTGTGTGGAAGTTCCTCTTTACCCGGAATAAATTCTGTGTGTGCGGAACGAAATAATTGTTCCGCTTGCACTATTACAGGAACAAATGTTGGAATGAAAAGTTCCGCCGGAACTCTTACTATGGGGGAACCAAATCTTTTTTACACCTACTCAAAATGATTTCCATTTGTGATTTATTTATGATAAGATAAAAGTGAAACGTTCAAACTAAAGAATAAAATAAAGCAGTTATACATAAAACAGTTTACTGTGTTAATAAAACAATGATACTAACTTTTCTTGAAGGCAAATGTAAAAAGACAAGAAACGTTTTTACATTAAAACGTTACCATAACCGTACGGTAGCTGGGTACTGTCTATTAAAGATGACAAGGATGTACGTATGGCAAGCGGCTTCACACATGACGCCCGCCACATTTATCCTATACACAGATAAACAACACAACACACAAAGGATATGATTACGGTTAGTGACACTGGAATACTGATGTTGACCACACTGGCACTGTGTGATTGATACAACTTTGCAACGCTAACTGACTGACAACAAAAACTTTGTAATATTACACGCGAGATCTGTCTGTTGGGGTGAATTGCCTCCCTTGAATATACTACAGTCGATAAAACGAACACATGCACACGCAACGTTTCCTGTTTTCTAAAACTGTAGATTCGTAATTAAATTTACCCAGATGAAAATGTCAGGCACATCCAGGTTAACCGAGAGGCCTAAGCCACCTACGGTAGACGAGATAATGTTAGATATTAAATCGGCAAAGGTGGACGACCCTGTGTTCACTTTCGGAGTGACAGGCATATCGAGAGGTAACAGCTTAGTGGGAGATGTTTTCGTTAAAATATTCTGGGGTGGGGTAGCCTTGTTGTTTAACCGTTTGCTTTTGTCACGCTGATGCGTGTTCAATTAACAAATTTTGTGAATACTGTGATTCTGTCTTGTGGCTCCTACATATTCAGGCAACAGAAAGGATTGTAAGCTTGTTCTGTCATGATCTATCCCGGCACGTAATGACGTGTATGCACAACAGTATGCCAATCAAGTATGGTCGTATGATAAAGTTTTCGGATGGCAGCGGTTACTTGGGGTGTTTCGTCACTCAGACATTTTGTTTGTGTTGCTGCAAACTGTCATAATATTTGTGTAATATTTCGATAGCACTAGCACTGTGGATAAGAACATATCTCAGTCCACCCTTACCTCGAGATATATATAGTTTGGCATGAAAGTGGACCTGTTTTTTTTGTAAATATCTCTTCATCCAATGACCCAATCGATCTCAAACTGTGAAAGTATGTGTTTTGTCAGTGACAGATTCTTTAATACAAATGCATAAAATTGGTGATTTGCAATGTGATTAGGTTGTCTGACAAAACATCCACTTGCACAGTTTGAGATCGATTGGATTATTGGATGAACTCATATTATCTAAAATACTGGGTCGACATCAGCTATGCCAAACTATCCAGTGTGAGATGCTTCCAAAATTGTGTGTGAGACTATGTAATGACTCATGATCTGAAAGACTTGAATACTTATCTAGGATACACTACACTATTTAACCACCATTCTCCCAGTCTAAAAAATAGAGCTTGACTGTGATGTAAACCTGTGAATGGAGTTAGGATCCAAACATGCACAGATTATGTGTCTAGGTTGGTTTTTAGCAACACATCTGCTCATGGGCGTCATCATCTGAATCGTGCATCACTTCAGGCTTTCCTTCAACATCAAGTTTCCGTCTTCATAGTGTTGGGAATTGGAAACCGAATCCATTATTGATTATGGGAGGACTTTTGGTGAATGATTATCGATTATAATCGAAATATATACATTTTTAATGTAATCAGCAATGTTAAGGGTTTTTCCCCAGGTTTTTTCTATATCTAAATTTTACTTTCTGCATACAAATTATTTATGTTTAATTGGGTTATACTAAAACAACAAAATTATGATTAGTGGAAAATAAGATTTTTGCAATCAATAAATTTTATTAATCCTTCTTTCGATTGATTTTTGATTATTTTTGATCATCGGAACACTACTACGTCTTCAGCAACCCATGCTTGTCGTAAGAGGCGCCTGGATCGGGTGGTCAGGCTCGTTTACTTGGTTGACACGTGTCATTGTATCCCAATTGTGTAGATCGATGCTCATGCTGTTGATCACTGGATTGTCTTGTCCAGACTTAGTTATTTACAGACTGCTGCAATACAGTTGTAATATTGCTGAGTGCAGTGTTAAACAACAACCAACCAACCAACCATCATCAAGGTGACACGTTATAATATGACTGAAATAATATTAAAAGTGGCACTCAATCCAACCCATTCACTCACTCACTCACTCACTCACTCACTCTTCCATATAGGGCTCAGTAATAATATATTTTATTCCATTCAGATTCGACGCCATTATCAAGTGTAGACACATCATTTGATATCGGCAGTCATGGTGAGAAGTCCATGGAGAGTGGTGACCACATCGGAAAATCACCAGAAATGCCCGATATTGGAACAACCTATCTAAAAACACTTCAACTCTTGAATACAACTGAACTTTTGAAATCCTCCTCAGAAAACTTAAAGGATCAGTTTGAGCAGCTGGAGAAGCTGGGTACAGAGGTCACAGAAGCCATCGCCGAGTTGAAGTCAGCAGCAAAGACGGTCAAAACCAAATCATGAGTCCTCTGGAATGGAATTCTAATGTTGCAATAGTTACATAATTTGAAGAAATTGGTACAGGTTATGTGTTGTTGGGAGTGTTCATTGGACATGGAGGGTCGAACTAGGGAATTCCGAGGCACGGGAGGCAGTGGGGAAACGTAGTGATTAAAACGTTCATCTGTAATGCTGCAGTGTAAACCACATGGGTAGACTGTGTGTGAAGCCTATTTTCGGGGTCCCGTGATATTGCTGTAATATTGCTGAAATGCTCCCTCCCTCAGATGGACAATAGCCAGCATACAAAGTGTGTACAGAGAGACACCTTTTTAGGGAGGCATGATTATATTTCCATCTGCTCATCAGTCAATATGTTGTCTGAAGGTAGCAGTGAAATTCCAAATTTGATTTACAAATTTTCCATTTCTTCAGCATTGTGAAAAAAAGAACTTAAATCAATTTTGAACAATATGATGCTTCTCCCAATTTGCCTCAGTTTTATTTTGGAATACTAGATAAATCCCATGCACAATTGCTTGATTAACATGGTAAGAGTGTGTGACATGAATGATTGTGTGCCATCCATTTTGTTCATGATTCATGTTCATGCTATCGACCACGTTCTTCTGGCCAAGGACTGATTATGTGCTAGATCTATTTTACTATGTGTTATGTAATGACTATAACAGGAACACTGCTGATTGTGGCTAAGTCAGATTTACGTCCGGGACATGGTTTTGTTGACCTAAGAATGGTCACTTGTTGTTTGTTTTGAATAAGAACATGCCATATTCACCATGTGTATATCATAAAATGTTTGTATATTTCTAGACTATTCTATGGCATGTGAATTTCTCAGTTTCAACAGGGTGCATGGTCACCAGATGGGCACAATCGCTGTGTAGAGTTGCTTCCCTTTGGGAGAGTTGCTTCCCTTGGGCATGCCTGAAACCAACTTTCACGGGTTCAGATCTTGGTTTGCCTTGTTTATGTGTCTAGGTTTGTCATACCCCAGATTTGGAGGGTAGTTGAAGTGGTAAACGCCTGACATGCATCACGCCTAGCTCTCCTCCAACAGTACCCGTGAAGATCCGGGTTAGAATTGATCTTCAGTAACCCATGAAGATCCGGGTTAGAATTGATCTTCAGTAACCCGTGAAGATCTGGGTTAGAATTGATCTTCAGTAACCCGTGAAGATCTGGGTTAGAATTGATCTTCAGTAACCCAAGCTTGTCGTAAGAGGCAACTAATGAGATCGGGGGGTAAGGCTCGCTGGCTTGGTTGACACATGTCATCGTATCCCAATTGCGTAGAACAATGTTCATGCTGTTGATCACTGGATTGTGTTGTCCAGACTCAATTATTTACAGACCGCCGCCATATAGCTGGAATACTGCTGAGTGCGGCGTAAAACTAAACTCACTCACTTTTCCAACAGTAGACAGTCACGTTGTCATATAACTGGCATATTGTTCAAACCAGTGCTAAATCCACCCAGTGACTCCTTGTCGAGTCCTGGTTTCAAATGCTCACTGTGAATATACATTTTCATGAACATACCTTTGTACTATTGTTCCTTGATCATCATCACTCATTTATTTGTTATATAATAATCAGATAAAAACTCTATATGATAATTCATATTTTTAACAAAATTAACCAATTATTCTGATCAGGTAATTAATGACATGTGATATTAACCCTGTGTCCTTTACTTCTACATTAAGCTGACTTGTCATAAGAGCCGATTAAAGGGATTGGGTGGTCAGACTCACTGACTTGGTTGACACATCTTCATATCCCAGTTGCGTAGAACGATGTTCAAGCTGTTGGGGCGATGGGGTAGCCCAGTGGTTAAAGCGTTGGCTCGTCACGCCGAAGACCCGGGTTCGAATCCCCACATGGGTTCAGTGTGTGAAGCCCATTTCTGGTGTCCCCGCCGTGATGTTGTTGGAATATTGCTTAAAGCGGCGTAAATCCAAACTCAGTCAGTCAGTCAGTCAGTTGTGAGTCATGACTTCATGATTTGACTATAATGGGATGACCTATGACCTTTATTTAGAGGTAGCGTGCATGATGAAGTGATTTTAATGAGATTGCCTTGTTATGTTTGTGTCTTGAATCAGTTTCTGTTTATGATTGAATTTTTTACATATAATTGGTGAAAAAAAAAGAAATTCAATTTGTTTTTGAAAGCAGTCATCGGATAGGTTCAAGAACCTCATTTAGCTGAGGGTACATTGCTATTGTTCACTAATTGCCCCTTCTGTAACCTCCATCGGCTTGTCCCGGAATAACAGGAGCACGTCATGAATGGGTTCACTGCCATTCGTCACCACTCGCCCATTCCTGTAACTAACCTCCATCGGGAAATCCCGGAATAACACGAGTGGATCATGAATGGGTTCACTGCCATTCACGTGTCCCGGATAACATGAGTTGGTTACGAATGCCAGACGTCACCACTTGCCCTTTTCAGTAACCTCCATCGGCTTGTTCCGGAATAACATGAGTGGGTCACGAATATGGGTTCATTTCCTGCTCCACACACAGAACGGTGTTGTATCAGAGTACAAGATCTGATGTTAATGATATTGAGCAGTGATGCACTAGAAGTGCATTTATAGCATTACAACCATGTACTGCAGTATAAAGTTATCAGAGTCTAGTCTGAATGTTTGATTGTTGTGATCAGAGACCATATATATATGGTCTCTGTTGTGAGAGAGTGACCTTTACAATTGTAAGTATTTATTATGCAGATTAAAAAGGATGTGGAGGAGGAACTGTTTCATTATTTATGAGCTATACACCAGAACAAAAGATGACCATAGCTTACTATTTGTTTTGTTTAAATAAGTGAGGTATTGAAATTGCCTCATGTTTTGTTTTTGTCAAAACACTTCTGTACAAAGTGTTTTTATGTCTCTTCCTGAAAGGGATGCAAGGCGTATTGTGTTTTGGATAGGTTCCGTGGACGTCAGTGTCTGTTTTCCCATCCTGTTCCAAGCCACAACTTGACAACATTTGTAATGGTTTTCAATGAAATTTAGCCCATTAACTTTAGTGGAACGTGTTACTGTTTTTAAACTTTTGGAAAGTATTTTCATGGAAGTAATGTTTACTTAGTCTCCAATGAGGGTAGGGTTGATTCTGGGGCTGTAACTTATTTCAACACAACTTATGAATTGCTCATCGGCATTTCGGTGCCAAGAGCTATTCTTTGCAAAGTTTTATTTTGTAATGTGTCTGTGGAAAATATTTTGACTTAGTCTCCAGGCTTTGTCCTCATGTCTTAACTTCTCTGGCGTGATAGAAATGGATTTCATGTGGTTCCATCTGATGAAGGTGGTGGTGCAGGAACAGCAGCAGCAGCATCAGAAGATGAAGAGTTCAGGGAGAGAGATGCACTATATATCAACTAATCATATGTTGATTGTGGATGTTGTCTTTAACAAAAAAGATATATTGATGGCTTAGAGTTCATCATGTCAAAACCGCCTCCGTGGTGTAGTGGTTAGAGCGTCCGCCCAGAGAGAGGAAGGTCACAGGTTCAATCCCCGACCGCGTCAAACCAAAAAGACGTTAAAATATGGTACTTGTTGGTCCCTGCCTGGCGCTCGGTATTAAAGGGTACAAGAAGGACTGGTCGGCTCGGAGTCAGTATAATGTGTCTAAGTGGGGTATTCATGCTTCACTGCGGCATGGTATCTCAGTGGGCTAGCACTATAAAACCAGCTTCAGTCTGGGCTAGTACAAGCAGCCGCACATACACATACACACGCATGCACACGTCGTCATATGAGCAAAATTATCTCAAGCACGACGTTAAACCCAATTTCACCTCACCTCATGATGTCAAAGATCGGATTCCATTTCCAGAGACAAAATCCAAGATCAGATCCTCTCAATTTTGTGCCTTAATTCCAATCTCTTGTTTTGGTTCTAACATATTCATTCAGGCAAGTTTCAAGCTTCTTGGCGTTAACTCACTCACACACCCGTACAAGTGCACACTACAAGCAATACAAAATGGTGCTCAAGAGTTCACTGGACACAAACACACCCCTAACACTAGAAACCAAAGCCAACTGAAAAACATTCCAACCATAGTCATATTTCTAATCAAAACCTGCCTGCTGGGACGCTAATAATCCCACATAACCTACTAGTACTAGTACGAGAGTCATCAGAAGATGTCATATCCCCCCCGGCCCCTACATATTTGAAAGAACAAATCATCTGACAGTTAATGTCTTTTTAGACCAAGTCCAAATCGTTTCCATGGAAATCATGAAAAATATAAATGCCAAAAATCTCCAAATAGCAAAAGGCACCACTTTAGCTTATGTTTGATATATCTACCAAGTCTTGAAGAAAGATATTGACCGGTTTTCGAGTTGTGCTCCGGAAACAAAGCTAACCCTCATTTCATTAAGTTCAAATCGTTTCCATGGAAACCCAAGAAAAATGAAAAACACAAAAATCTGTAAATAGCAAAAGGCACCACTTTAGGTTCTGTTTGATATATCTACCAATTTTTGTGGAAAAATATTGAAAGGTTTTTGAGTTATGCTCCGGAAACAAAATGATTACGGATGGACTGAGGGACGAGCCATCGACTATATCCCCCCGCATTACATGCCGGGGGGATAATAAAAACTGACATAACATGATAACAATAAGAAAGAAAAAGCTCCAAAATACCAACCTAACCCAGACACTTGATAACAGTGTTAGTAGCTACACCGAAACGTTGCTCATATAATAACAAGAAGACAAAGTCATCAATATCCACCGCTATGGCAAAATACTCTTCATGATTATGTCTACGAGTTATGATTATGTCAAATATTTAGGTGTGTATATAGAAAAGTGGAAGGAGAGTATTGAAAGGTTTTTAAAGTTCTGCTCCAGAAAGGAGCAGTATCACCAATTTCAGTCTATGTCAAACTTGTTGCCATGGAAATGCCAAAAATATTTTATTCAGAATTCCAAAACTACCAAAAGGCACCAGTACACCACCAGATCTATGTATGTGCCAAGTTTGGTGAAGAAACATTGAAGTTTTAGAGTTCTGCTCGAAAAGAGCACTACCACATTTCAGTTTTGTCAAACTTGTTGCCATGGAAATGCCAAAATATTTTATTCAGAATTCCAAAACTACCAAAGGCACCAGTAGAGTTCTGCCAAGTTTGGTGAAGAAACATTGAACGGTTTTAGAAAAAGAGCACTACCACTAATTTCAGTTTTAGTCAAACTTGTTGCCATGGAAATGCCAAAAATATTTTATTCAGAAATCCAAAACTACCAAAAGGCACCAGTACACCACCAGATCTATGTATGTGCCAAGTTTGGTGAAGAAACATTGAACGGTTTTAGAGTTCTGCTCCGGAAAAGAGCACTACCACCAATTTCAGTTTTAGTCAAACTTGTTGCCATGGAAATGCCAAAAATATTTTATTCAGAATTCCAAAACTACCAAAAGGCACCAGTACACCACCAGATCTATGTATGTGCCAAGTTTGGTGAAGAAATAGTGAACGGTTTTAGAGTTGTGCTCCGGAAAAGACAAAAGTGCACGGACGGACGCACCACGACGGAGTCAATTTTCATACCACCTGCAAAACGCGTTGCGGGGGATAATAAAGAAGTTGTATATCCATAGAACACTCCCCGTTGTTAATACAGTCGAGTTTCGGCCATGAAGTACATGGGTACAGGTCATCTGATGTGGGTATGAAGCATCCAAAATATTGTTAGTCCAAATTTGGTTACGGGTCGACCAAAAAAGGTACGACAAAAATTGGTAAGAATCTGATGAGAAATTTACGTACAAGTTAGCCATTTCTGTTGGGTACAAATTTCTGTGGGTACTGATGGTCTAGTATTGTTGCCAAATGTTATTTAAATCATATGAATCATTTAAAAAATGAACAAAATCTGGCATACTAGGACTCAACTGCAGGCTGTAATGGTGAGAGTGAGTTTAGTTTTAAGCCACACTCAGCAATATTCCAGCTATATGGCGGCAGTATGTAAATAAAAGAGTATGGACCAGACCATCCTGTGATCGACAGCATGGGCATCGGGTTGTCATGGTGATAGACTGCATCACTGCTTTACCTTAACTAACACTACTTTACTTGCTGTAATACTGTCAATACAGACTGTAAAATAGAATGATCTGACATGAAGGTAAAAAAACAACCATTGTTTTGTGAGTTTTGTGAACTCTCTGTAACTGTGTTACATGGATATTTATTTATTCAAACATACATGACCCATTCAACATATACCAACAGTGTCTTAACTGACACTAAACATTTATCACAGTCTACATTTGATCTAATTTGAGTGAAAAACTGAAACCTGTACCCAGTGTGCGAAATAGTCACTGGCCTGCTAGCCCATGGCTTGAGAAATCCGGTCGGGCCAGTAAATCTCCACAGTCACTGGCCCGACTGGCAAGTGAATTTTCATGGGGTCATATTTTACATATATCACTCTCTCCGACTTGTTAAGTTATAATACACTTTAAAAAAATGCAACATTATGGCCTCATAAATTATGGTATTTACATTTTTGTAATCTTTTGCTTAATTTCTACATTCAAATTTTGGGCTAGTGAATTATTTTGTGGGCTAGTAACTTTCAGGCATAGCTAGCCCGACTGGCAAGCAAAATTTGGAAACTATTTCAGCACGCTACCTGAACCATGCAATATTCCAGCTGTTCAATTTCAAAGTTCATCAAATTCACGTTTTGATGAATATTCTTCAAATTTTCAGTTATTATGTAAAAGGGCTGGCCAAAAAGATTGATAATCATAAATAAAGTCGATGGGAAGAATTATTAATGATTGTTGATATGAAAATTGTATTATCGATAATATCTTACATAGACTATTGTGATGAAATAAAGTTTAAAATTTAGACACAATGCACAAAGTTTGTCTTTATACCTGAAATTATGTTCAGAACACTGTTTTTGTAAGTAATCAATGCATAAATGTCTCACCACTTGCCATAAACATAAAATGTGTTGATTCATTCAGACTTTTTTTCATTTTTGTTAAAATTACCTTCCCGATAAGCATTGATAATTGATCAATATATAGTTCCCGATCATTGGCCAGCCCTAATCATGTGACTTGTTTCGGCACTGTTTCTGCTACTTTGTTCAGAGCCTGTGATATTTCTTTCACTTTCTCCATGATTTTGTCCTTGTCTGTGTCTAATAGCCTTTTCCCAAATTTCTGTGTGAATTTATCCGGATGCCATCGAATCTGCTGGTCCCTTAAATATTTCCGAAATTTCGCACTTGATTTGTCTGGTAAATCACAAAATAGCACCTCCGTGAAGTCATGTAGTGAGCCCCTACCTGGCCATGGTATATCACTGTAGCTCAACTGGTCATCGTTGTCTTTACGCAGTAAACACTCAAAATTCTTCTCATACAGACTTTTTCGTCTCTTTTTACGATTTTCCATGTCACATTTTTGACTTGCATCATATTTCCTTTTCAGTTCTTCTCGGATATTTCGTAACTTTTCTTCATCTAGGATTGCAGACTTTTTTGTTTCTGCTGCTTTTCTTTTGTGCCTGGCCTTTGCTTGTGATGGTGGTATGTCACGCCCTGTGCTCGTATTATGTATGTGTTTCCGTCTATAGTTTGAGTACACCTGATCTGCCCATTGGTCATAGGATTCCTGGGTGTGGTCTTCGTAATAATCTGAAATGAAACAAGAGTGAGTGAATGTTGAGTGAATGGGAGTGGTATTTGGGTGAATGAATGAGTGAGTGAGTTCAGTTTTATGCTACTTTTAGCAATATTCCAGCAATATCACTGTGGGGGACACCAGAAATGGGCTTCACACATTGTACCCATGTGGGGAATCGAACCCAAGTCTTCACTGTGACGAAAGGATGCTTTAACCACCAATCTACCCCACTGCCCTTGTGATAGTGGACTGAATGTGAGTGAATGAATATGTGTACCACAATCGCAATGTAGTGCAATACAATATATTTGCCAATATACAGCCCTACTGTTTAATGTGGATGATTTCAATGGTATGTACTGTCTGTATGAAAAGGATTTATATGTCAATAGGATTTGGCCATATGACAAAAGAAATGAAGTTTTTGAATAGCTTTTAGTTAGCTACTCATTATGAAGTCAAGAAATAATAAACTGCTTGTTACTGGGCGAGGTAGCAATTCATGCATTGGTGGATCCAGAGAGGGGTGGGGGTGGGTGTGTGTGTGGTGCGCACGACCCCTTTTGTCCTGAAACTTTATTAAATGACCATTGAAACTCTCATGAAAATCAAGTCTTTACCCCCTTTCTTAAAAAGCTGTGTCTGACACTGTCATGGTAGTGTGACATCATGTTTGAGGAAAGTTGTTCAACGAATATGCATACAAGGGAGACAATCCCCACTGCAAAACAAAAAATGCTATTATCTCCCTTTGGTTGTATGGATTCCCCTTGTTCCATTTATTCTTTAACACTGCAGCGTCAACATAGTTGAAGCTATCTCTATGGTTGTAATAAAACATATACACAATACATTAAATTAAAGCCAAACAAGCAACTTGACAAAATTCAATAAAATTTAAACCGAAGTTAAAACATACAGCAGAAAGTTTCGTATAGCATTTTTTCATGGTTTTTATGCTTTTAGAATAAGGGGGAAATGTATCTCAGTGTTATACAATTTCTTATTTGGAAATAAGGACTCCACCCGGACAGTGTTATAATCACAATCAATCGGACTCACCGTATTCGGTGTTGTATCTGCCTGTAAACTCCTCTTCTTCCCAGTTAAGTTCTTCTTCTAGCTTCTTTTCCCACGACTCTGATGCTGTTCTTTCTTGAGCTTCCTCCTAGATAAAGGAATCAGAACATAATGTTAGGTTTGCTTGATCAGGCTGTTTAACAGCATTATTCCTGGAGTACAATGGCCGAAGGGTCAACCCTGCATGAGTGAATGATACCCAATGTACAGACATTGCAAAGGTCTAGCAACTTAATAACAATACTCTCTTGTATATCTAGTGAAAATGAAAGACTAATATAGCTATATCACTAATGTCTGTAAATAATTGAGTCTGAATTGTGATAGATATCATAAGCAATCATCGAGCCAACAAAGATTTGGTTGGTTGGTTTGTTGTTCAGCACTCAGCAATATCCAGCTATGTGGTGGCGGTCTGTAATAATTGAGTATGACCAGACAATCCAGTGATCAACAGTATGAGCATCGATCGATGCAGTGGGGATATGATGGCATGTGTCAACCAAGATCAGTGAGCCTGACCACCCGATCCGATTAGTCGGCTCTTACGACAAGCATGGGTTGCTGAAGACCAATTCTAACCTGGATCTTCATGGGTCAATCAAAGAAACGTGATGTGCGATGAATATAGCATGCCTGACCAAGTCAGCTCAGACAACATCCGTACTTTGTAAATAATTACTGAAACATTTGAACTATGGCAGCAACATAAACTGAATAACTGACTCAGCATTGAATTTGAAAACACATATCACATCAAATGATGTTTCTAGACTTTATAACAAAACCTAAAACTAATCACTGCATGGTGCTGGGATTTGACCCATGATCATTATCAGGAGATAATAGTGTGTGAACACTGTTTAGTTTGTAGATTTTTATTGTTTCCAGATTTGGAAATGCAAGTAAAAGATTTGAGATGCAACAACAAAGAGTGAAATTGAAAAATTACAGTCAAACAACATTGTGTCGAAACTTTTGAACTCTTCGTTGTCTCAGTACAAGATTGGTCCTGGTGTAATCAAACCTCAGATAACTGGACTGACAGACTGAGTTTAGTTTTACGCAGCTTTTAGCAATATTTCAGCAATATCACGCGGGGGACACAAGAAATGGGCTTCACACATTGTGCCCATGTGGGGAATCGAACCCGGGTCTTCCGCATGATGAGCCAACGCTTTAACCACTAGGCTACCCCACCACCCCCAGATAACTGGAGGTATTGACACAAGTGTTTTGAACTTTAACACAACTCTGTTTGACCGCACACACACACAGAAATCAGATGAAGATGTTCTATTTGATGCACATTGACTCAGTGAAGAAGGTCCGGCACGCATGACAAAGACTAAAATATGTGTATCATGGTTAAAAACAGATTGGTTTAAATGACCATTTTTTTAGCATCCCATGGAATTTCATTCTCTTCCCACAGAGGTTACTTGTCATATCTTCCTACGAACCTCTGTTCTAATACGGCCATATCTCCCGGTTCTCGTAAAGTCCCCTAGCGACAAAAAATCGTAACACGACTTATCTCCCTTCTTTCTATCCAATTAGAACATGTGTTACATCGACTTAGATCCAACTTGACTAATACAAGCAAATTTTGGGCCACAAATATCCCTCCTCTGCCGGAGACTTGTGTTGATGTGACACACAAGACATTTAATGGCTAGCTTGTCCGTTGTCAGTGAGGGCGATTGCACAACTAAATCTGATTGCAACCAATCACAAATCCAGTGAAATGAGGTTTGTAGGAAGATATCACAAGTAGCCTCTTTGGGAAGAGAATGATGGAATCTCTGAAACTAACTATTTGTTAGCTTTTCAAAAGAAATCAATATTTGAACTCTGTAAAACCCTGCTGATCATATTGATGTTGGGAAGGTTACCTCCTGTCGATTCCTGTTGACTAACTGGTCCAGCAGCTGGCGACAGGTCACTCCTTTATGGTTCCTCACCTCCAGAGTTTCTGGCACCGTCTCCAACAGTGGTAGCACCAGGTCGTTGTAAGCTACAACATCAACACAGTTGTATAACGTCATGTAGTGCCTATACAGAGCTCCAGATAAGATTTAGCTCATGTGGGTACTGTACCCACTGTATTTTTTTGGAGTGGGTATTATGAATGGTGAGTGGGTATTTCATTTTCCGTTACCCACTGCTTTCAAATATGTGCGTATTTCAGTCATTTTACTCACCTAAGTATTATGTCATTGAGTAAGTTTACTAAGCAGGTATGTTCTACCTTATGTCATACCTAATCAAAACTAACTTAAATATAATGGAAATGATTTCATAAAAAATCACTCATCCTATACTGACAGTACAACACTTGTCCTATACTAACAGTACAACTTGATAACAATCGATGTCTTTTTCATAACGCAGTTTATTTTATAAATACATTCCGCGACGCATTTAAACTTTTAAACTGTGATTCAACATTTTTAAATGCATAATTGGTACACAAGAATTATTTTTCAACGCGTAATTGGAAATTTTCTATGCGCATTTTACCCGGATATGCAGCTTATCTGGGCCTCTGCCTATATATAACAATATTCCAGTTATTCCATCTATGCAATTTGGATACAGTGACATGTGTCAACCAAGTCAGCAAGACTGACCACCCAATCCCGCTCGGATTGCTGAAGACCAATTCTAACCCGGGTCCTCAAGGGTGCTTATCAAAGAAAATGTCAACTTGCTAAACACTCCTAACGCAGAGGATCCACATATCCGGACTGCATTTCTCACTCTTAGTGTTTCTGTCTACAGGTAGATGAAGACTGACAAAGTGACACAAACAGTTACACACTTTTCACCAGGGCTGGGTATTGCAGAGAATTTTCATATTGCAATACATTGCGATGCGAAAGCATGTATTGCGATATGTATTGTAAACATTTTTATTTAACATGCTTTATTATATTAGTGATATGTATTGCAATAAGTATTTTTGTTAAAAAGAACTTCTGCAATATTTTGCAACACAACAAAAACGATCGCAATATATTACTTATGCAAAAATCGAAGTTCTTTTAACAAAAAATAGTATAATGCTTGATTTATAAAGCAAAAACACAACAAAATCACCATGCTTGATTAAGCTTTAATAAAAACTTTTAATCATGACAAAATAAAAATGTAAATAATATTTGGCACAAATAAAAAAAGGAAAGGAACAATTTATAAAACGGAAATATCCGAAGATTTCCGAGTGTTACGAAGTCTTTTTGAATGCATGTCAAAATACCGGTTTTCAATCAGCGTATTGCAATATGTATCGTTTTCATGTCTGAACCGGTATATACCTGTAAAGCGGTTATATTGTGCAGCCATACTTTTCACTGATATCCTAATTACATGTATGTTAGTACAGACCAGGTGACATTTGTCACAAACCTTCTCTGGAGTGCTGTGGGTCAAGATCAAGTGCTTGCTTTAAGATGACATGAAGAGGGAGGTCTCCACCATTGTCTGGCTCAACAGCACTCACACCTTCCTTCAACAGGTACCTGCCAGTAACAACATACAACACGCAGAATTGGTACCACATTTGCAAATGCAAAAACACCTGGTTTAGTAATTCATGTATGATACACGAGAATCATGCATCACATTGTCATAATTTGTTTGGATACAAGAACATTCTACTAATTCCATATGAGATGTATTTAAATAAAGGCTGGTGAATCAGAAGGATCTACAGCAGACATAGCCGAGAGCTGCGATGCAGTCCTATACAGTCAAGGCATCACCCTGTATCGCGACACCTCTACAGCGACAACTGGAATCGCGATGCAGGGTCATGTCTTGACTGTATAGGACTGCATCGCGGCTCTCGGCTACAGCAGACAGTGTGCCCATTGATGATAAATTCACCTGTTGATGATAAATTAACCAAGTTAATTTCTCCAAGTGATTTACGACATTGCCTTATCAGTCAATGAGCATTATCATGGAGATATATCGGCACATGTATCATAGTTTTTGGACGAAAGTTTTAACATGGGTTGTAAAAAAGGGCGTTGCGTTGAACAGATACATGATTTGTAAACTCTTGATGGTGCCTTGTGTTTAAGGTAATGTTCTACAATCGTTCCTGCAATAATCAAGACAACAATGGATGCTCTTAAGTGTCCGAAAACTCATAAAACGAAGATATGTATAATAATACTAATGATAATATGTTAAATTACCTCAAGACACCTCCTGATCCTTGTTGACAACAATAATGGAGAAGTGATCTTCCCTTTGTTAATTCCACATCTTTTAAGTAAATTCTATGCTTCTTGGTGTAAGATTTAAGTTTGGAGGGTCTGTCATCTTTGATGTATTTCTTCAGTTTTTTAACTTTGTTTTCGTCAAGCATATCGATTTACTGTGTGATTGTTGCTTGAAGAATGCATAACATATTCCGTTACTAGGGTGATTTCTCAGTGAATCAGCTGAACTCAAGACAGATTGAAACAAAGCGCTTCGAGAAAGATTCTAAATTCTCAAAACGTTAAACGTTGTCTGCATGAACCGGAAGTTTTGTAAAGGGAGATAATAATTTGAATGTTGTAAAAGTATAACTAATCTATGAGTCCATTTATTAGACACACCACCCTTCATTCAAACCTTGCGTTTTATTTCCAATATTTAGAATGGGTAGTTCATTTCTTCCACATCGATTAAAACGTTTAACACATTTGTTTGTCCCTTAAAATTAATTATTTCATACAAATCATATTTCGTTTTATTGCATTACTCGCACCTGCACGACTGGGTTCTGTCTACCCATAATTATTGTTACGCCATGTCAACAGCGCAACCTAGTAGCAATACTTGTTATAACATTCACGAGTTCTCATATTAAAATTTACACTTGTCACAGATTCAGTGTGAAAGAAATTACGCTGAAGTTTAGTTCAAGAGTACAAGTCTGAAACAGAGAGAGAGAAATAGTATTTATCAGAGTCCACGACATGTGTCACGCTGTTTTGTTGTTCTCTTTATTTTGTTTTCTCGTTGCCATGATACGTCTAAACATGTTGATAGTGAGTGAATGCATTTCTAAGATTTTGGCAAGTTGCCACACGTCGATGCTCACGATTGGCACGAGTTACGAGTGTATTTGGATTCCGTCCGGTAGATATCATTCCATCCTCCATCGCCATTTGAGTAAGTGTTTATTATTCTTTGATTTCCGTTACAGATTTTACTTGCGTTTCGCATAACCAAGCAGTACAGACCCATCTGAATCTAGTTTTTGACATAATGACTTATGCCACATCTTGATGTTGACATCTACTTTTACATATGACCAAAATTCACGTGGAATGGCATTTGTTTTGTTAGTTATTGATTTTAAAATATCAAGATGCGTGAGAGTATGCCTAAGTATATGTTAATTGTTGTTAACGTTTTAAAAGTGCATGCATATATCACTAAATAGAAATAAAAAATGAAAACAAATTCCAACTTGTTTATAAGACTGTTAATTAACATGATTAAACTGTGTTGTGATGTGAAGGTTTCATTTTGATATTGCAATTTTTACCCAAGCACTTTTACAGAAAATGCTACATTAAAAAAATATGAAAGATTAACATTGTTTGGACAGCATGTTGTGGGATCAGGTAAATATAATGCAGTGAGATTTCAACCTGTAATGTTTAATGTGTTTTCTCATAAACATCACACATTTTATTTGTTGATGAATTTACATCAAGGCAAACAATGTGTACAATTAAGGGATATGTTATGTCTGAGTGGGGTATTCATGTTAAACTGAGGTCTAGATTCTAAAAGGGCTAACTCGGTAAAGACTGGTCCAGACTGGTTCCAGCAGCTCACTCACACGTGCAAATTGATATGTTAAAGTGCAGTAATCTTGAACACAATGTGTCGACTCCATTTCAAATCACCTTCACTTCTAGCAGTGTTTAAGTGCCCATGTATGTAATAGAATAGGTAAGTACTATGGAAGATAAACTGTTGAATACTGATCTGTCAGAGACGTAACGTGTACGTGAGACTGCCTATCGTCTCTTGTATGGGAGACGGGTGCACTCTGCGGTACTAACTGCTGATACAATCAGACACTGTTATGTTGAACCTTGATGGGTGGAACGCATGGCTGAGTCAAATTTAAAAGCTTGGTCCCTTCGTGTTCAGGCTCGCTGACTTGGTTGACACATGTCATAATGTCCCAATTGCATAGACTGATGCTTATGATTTTGATCATTGGATTGTCTGGTCCAGACTCTATTATTTACAGACTGCCACCATATAGGTGTAATATTGCTGAGTGCGGCATTAAACAACAAACCAACCAATAGTATTCTGTCTTTTTTCGTCTGGAGAGTGTGAAGTATTTACTAAGGTCCCATCAACTTCAACATAATCAAAATATACAATAAACTACTGTTCTAACAAATTCAACAATGCTCAAACTACTTTTGGTTCATTATAACCATAGTTCATGATGCACATTTTGACCGATGCACGGGGCAGTGGGGTAGCCTAATGGTTAAAGCGTTGGCTCGTCACGCTGAAGACCCCGGGTTCGAATCCCCACATAGGCACAATGTGTGAAGCCCATTTCTGGTGCCCCCCGCCGTGATGTTGCTGGAATATTGCTAAAAGCGGCGTAAAACCAAACTCAGTCAGTCAGTCAGTCAGTGACCGATGCACACTGCAAGTGTTTGTAGATCTGTCAGTTCATTACAAACCTGTTCGTTGTAAAGGTAGTTTATGGTATATCCTTGCATGATGCCCTCACATAGCTAACTGGTGTACTTTTAATTTATGATTGTTTAACGTTTATCTTTTAATTTGATTGTTAACAGATCTATGGAACAAATCATGGCATCAGAAACACCAGACATTCCTTTGGGAACATTGGAGTTGGAATCGCTTCCAGGAAAGCCTGATATCCCCCCTGAAGGTGAAGAATGTCAGAAAACAGAGACTATTCTGGGAGAAGAAAACCTGGCATTTGAGGGAGCCGAAACACTACAGGGAGAGTTAACTCCCCTTACCTATGTCGATTTCATGCCAAGATGTCTGGGAACTGACTATCTAAAAGGACAAATACCTGAATTTGCTGAATTTGGGTATGTTTGTTGTATCTTAATGGATCTTAACACTCCTTAAAAAATCTGAAAACTGTGCAGGAAGTAATATTTCTATTTATGAATAGAAACAATGAATTATATTAGTGACATTAATGGCCTAAATAAGAACAAGTGAATGGCTGTAAATGTGAATGAGGGAATGGCCTGAAATGTGAGTGACTAGTTGTAAATATGAATGAGTGAATGGCCCATAGATGAGAGTGAATGGCCATAAATGTGAATGAGTGAATGGCCCATAGATGAGAGTGAATGGCCATAAATGTGAATGAGTGAATGGCCCATAGATGAGAGTGAATGGCCATAAATGTGAATAAGTGAATGGCCAAAGGTATGAGTGAATGCCTGTAAATGTGAATGAGTGAATAACCTGAGATTTGAGTGAATGGCCATAGATGTGAATGAGTGAGTGACCTGAGATTTGAGTGAATGCCTGTAGTTGTGTATGACTTAAACAGCTGTATATGTTTATTGTTGTCATACAGGACGGTAGTGGAGCAGGCCAACCAATGGCTGGAGTCGATGCCTCAGTATACAGTGTGGAAGTGTGAGACGGTGGGGAAGAAGCTCAACAACAGTGACTACCAGCTTGACAACGATGCTGTTTTCATCCACATGTCCAGTCACGGCAACAACGCCTTCCTCATGGGACTAAGGTCAGACTAAACCCACACTACCAAGACTTGCCAAACCACAACTCCATTTCAAACTCCAAGTTTATTTGTTTCTTGAAAAATCACCACGAACAGGCAGATCATAATGGCAATAATAAAGGCTGTGCATAGTATTTTTGTGCATTTATACGTGTCATGCTAATGATGCACTCCTTCACCAAGACCAATCAACTGTATTATAGTGTTGGGAATTGTAAATCTCATAATTGATGATTGGTTCATTACAACCGATCAATCATCGAAAATAATTGGTTAGCATCATTTATCAAATTTTCCTGGTTATCTTTGTTAATGCACAAAAAATAAAGAAAAAACATGTAGTTCTTTTGGTGTTTTTTTCAAACTGCACAAAATGCATTTGCAAATTTCACATCTTTAAATGATGACTAGTGTGTTAGGAACAAATTTCCAATTGTGACTTGGAACGAGCTTGTAGTGCTCATTAAATGTAACTGACAAAACCAACCATGTGAAAAATATCGTTAATGCAAACAAGTGCTCCAAAATTGTTTGTGTTCGATTATGAGAAAACATGATCGATTGCTTGGTCGTTTAGTCACTGCGACCAATCTTTGATTATTTCAATTAATCGGACCACCACTACTGTATAAACATCTCCTTCTGAAACTACCCCTTTCATTTGTACATCTTCTGGCTTCCACGCCTTTCCTTTTTTAACTCACAGGCTTTATCAGCTTACTCAGCAGCCTAGCCAATTATGTTGTTTTCTTTGTTACGCGGTACATTCAGTAAATATACATCCCCTCCTCTTCATGTTACATCCCTGCTTGACAACGATACAAGAATCTGTATCAAAGTGGCTCACTCACGAAATATAGAAGCTGCTATCCATACAGTTTGTCTGTATTGAACTGACATGTTTTCATTTTGACTGAATTTGAGGTGACCTGTGATGATCCAGGTTAAAATTGATCTTCAGTAACCCATGCTAGTCGTAAGAGGCGCCTAATGGGATCGGGTGGTCAGGCTCGCTGACTTGGTTGACACATGTCATCGTATCCCAATTGCGTAGATCAATGCTCATGATGTTGATCACTGGATTATCTGGTCCAGACTTGATTGTTTACAAACCCGTGCCATATTGATGGAATATTGCTGAGTGCAACATAAAACTAAACTCACTCACTCACTCCTTTTGAGTGGTTGCCAGATCTTCACTGTGAGAAGTACATTTATGAAAGATCTGATTTTAATGAGATTGTGATAAATGCACAATAGAAACTACAATGAAAATATTCAGTTTTCCCCAAATGAATTTCGAATTTTTTCTCTAGCATTGAAAAGGCTTTTGATATGTTGAATGCCCTAGTTAGTGAATGTAACTGTTGTCTGTTCAGGTTGTGGCTAACTCCGAAGATGAACCCAGATGCCCCCGTACAGAAGTTGTCGTACGTGACCGTGTTGCCGGAGGAGAACACCCAGGGAGGGGGCAGTGTCGCTGACGTCATCTCGAATCTCCTCAACCAGCAGACGGGATACCGCTTTGGTGGCACACAGTTGTTTACACAGTTCAACTCGCTGAGCAAGACTATTGAGAAACTCTCCAGACAGTTGCAGTTGAACCCTATTGCTGGTGAGCTTGGTCTGGTTGAAGATCTTGTGCTTGGTTGCTCTATAGACATTTAGCCTTACATCTGCTGCATGTAGTAGGCATGTCTGAAACCTAGGTGGGCTTACAGTTCCCTGATTGTGTGTTTAGGTTTGTCTCTCATATTCAAAATGTGTTGCTAGGATGAGATCAGATGTAGTTCAAAGTTAGTAGTATGAGATCAGCTGTAGATCAAAGTTAGTAGTGTGAGATCAGCTGTAGTTCAAGGTTGCTAGTGTGAGATCAGCTGTAGTTCACAGCTGCTAATATGATATCATCTGTAGTTCAAATTTACTAGTGTGAGATCAGCTATAGTTCAAGGCTACTAGTGTGAGATCAGCTTTAGTTCAAAGTTAGTGGTATGAGATCAGCTATAGGTCAAAGCTGCTAATATGAGATCATCTGTAGTTCAAATTTACTAGTGTGAGATCAGCTTTAGTGCAAGGTTCCCTATGTGAGATCAGCTACAGTTCAAGGCTACTAGTGTGAGATCAGCTATAGTTCAAGGCTACTAGTGTGAGATCAGCTATAGTTCAAAGTTAGTAGTGTGAGATCAGCTATAGTTCAAAGTTAGTAGTGTGAGATCAGCTATAGTTCAAGGCTACTAGTGTGAGATCAGCTATAGTGCAAGGTTCCCTATGTGAGATCAGCTATAGTTCAAGTCTACTAGTGTGAGATCAGCTATAGTTCAAGGCTACTAGTGTGAGATCAGCTATAGTTCAAGGCTACTAGTGTGAGATCAGCTATAGTTCAAGGCAACTAGTGTGAGATCAGCTTTAGTGCATGGTTCCCTATGTGAGATCAGCTATAGTTCAAGGCTACTAGTGTGAGATCAGCTATAGTTCAAGGCTACTAGTGTGAGATCAGCTATAGTTCAAGGCAACTAGTGTGAGATCAGCTTTAGTGCAAGGTTCCCTATGTGAGATCAGCTATAGTTCAAGGCTACTTGTGTGAGATCAGCTATAGTTCAAGGCAACTAGTGTGAGATCAGCTTTAGTGCAAGGTTCCCTATGTGAGATCAGCTATAGTTCAAGGCTACTAGTGTAAGATCAGCTATAGTTCAAGGCTACTAGTGTGAGATCAGCTATAGTTCAAGGCTACTAGTGTGAGATCAGCTATAGGTCAAGGATCCCTATGTGAGATCAGGTGTAATTTAAGGTTACTAGTGTCAGATATGCCCTACCTATTAAGCATTATAATTTGTCATTTAGATCAGATTCAGTGGCTACAAGATTGGAATGGGTCCAGGGGCCTTATTGTCATCAAGTAAACTCTGTCTTCTTTTGTCAGGCGAGATTCTGAATGCTGAGACAATTAAACTGCTGCTGTCAGACAGCAAACCGAACCCGGAAACCACATGCTGGGTGGAGACAGGCAAAACCAACCGGCTATTTGTGTTCGCTCTGAGGATATTCTACATCATTGGAGAACCAGCATTTGAGACACTAGGTGAGATAGCTAAACAAAATTCAGCATGAATGAGTGAGTTCAGTTATATTCCGCTTTTAGCAATAATCGTGCAATGGTCTTCATACATAGTACCAGATTTGGAAATGCAAGTAAAAGATTGAGATGCCAACAACAAATAGTGAAATTTGAAAAAATACAGTCAAACAGCATTGTGTCGAAACTTTTGAACTCTTCGTTGTCTCAGTACAAGATTGGTCCTGGTGTAATCAGACCTCAGATAACTGGACTGACTGACTGAGTTTAGTTTTACGCCGCTTTTAGCAATATTCCAGCAATATCATGGCGGGGGACACCAAAAATGGGCTCCACACATTGTGCCCATGTGGGGAATCGAACCCTGTCTTCGACATGACAAGCAAACGCTGTAACCACTAGGCCACCCCACCGCCCCTAAATCCTGCATGAACGTAAGTACCAAAACTATTACATACTTGTGATTTGGGTATTAGTTTACCCGATGATGACCCTTTATAAAGCAGCATGTGTTGTCCAGGGTCCAAGGACATCATCCCAACACACGCCTGTAACACCGAGGGGATGATCCAGAGGTTGAAGTTCGCCACATACAGGTCAACAGTGCAGAAAGCTTCTGATTGGCTGAAGAAACAGCAGGTTTGTTGTCATCATTAGAGCTGTTTTGTAAATTGACTGTCACGCTGTGAAATGGAACAGCTGTTAGATGACACACAGAGCTCCAGATAAGATTTAGCTCATGTGGGTACTGTACCCACTGTATTTTTTGGAGTGGGTATTATGAATGTTGAGTGGGTATTTCATTTTCCGTTACCCACTGCTTTCAAATATGTGCGTATTTCAGTCATTTTACTCACCTAAGTATTATGTCATTGAGTAAGTTTACTAAACAGGTATGTTTTGCCTTATGTCATACCTAATCAAAACTAACTTAAATATAATGGAAATGATTTCATAAAAAAATCACTCATCCTATACTGACAGTACATCACTTGTCCTATACTAACAGTACAAATTGATAGCAATCGATGTCTTTTTCATAACGCAAGCGATTTTTATAAATATATTCCGTACACATTTGTTTTAAACTTTTTGCGTATCTAACATTTTAAATGCGTAATTGGTACGCAACAATTATTTTTCAATGCGTAAATGGAAATTTTCTATGCATATTTTACCCGGATACGCAGCTTATCTGGGCCTCTGGACACAGATGACACGATTTTTTGATTGTGATAGTGATGAAATCATCCATGCTAATTTTTACATACTGTCTCAACTACGGCTGGGAATGCCTGGCGGCAGACAGTCCTCCTACTTACACAGTCAAATAATGTTGTGGCAAACTTTGACTTGTTAATGTTACAATTATCTAGAAGTATTAAAGCCTGGTCTCTGTGTATTCCATGTTGATCATCAGTTTGTGGTTGACAAGAACCAGTGCTGGAGGGATTGATCAAATAATCGGTCAATCGATCGATCTTGCCTGCTTCGGCGATTATTGATGGGCTCAAACTAATTGACATTAAAAAAAATGAAACATCAAATTAAACTTTAGAAAGTATGTTTCTTATTGTTGTGTAAGACATAAACAACTTCTACAGTTTTTTTTACTTGTAAAACTGCAACATAATCTCGTGGGTGTCTCAACAGGAAGTGGCCTTGATCGTCTTATTAATCGACGCCTGTTTCGTTGGCATAATGTTAGGATTGTGTCCCGTTATTGCCTGTGGTGTTTTTTACGATAATGAGCTACAACATGTTTAGCTATATTCTAACCTCTATTGTAGAAAACGAACGAACGAATGAACAATATTTATCAACAGGTGAACACTGTTTCAGGGCATCAAGGTGGTGAACGTGCAGACTATCGATGTCAAAGTGTTCAAGCTTCCCAATGGTAGGTATCTGTTCTGTATGCACTCACTTGTACCAATATACACTGATGGGGAGACCTGTGAAGATCCGGGGTAGAATTGGTCTTCAGCAACCCATGCTTGCCACAACAGGCGACTATGCTTGTCGTAAGAGGCGACTAACGGGATCGGGTGGTCAGGCTCGCTGACTTGGTGTGTCATCGATGCTTATGCTGTTGATCACTGGATTGTCTGGTCCAGACTTGATTATTTACAGACCGCCGCCATATAGCTGGAATATTGCTGAGTGCGGCGTAAAACTAAACTCACTCACTCACTCACTGATGGGGATACCACTAAATGTTGAACATGCAGTTTGGGGACGTTTTAAGACTTGAAACAGTGCAAGTACTGCTTGATACAGACATAAAATCACATCTTGTACAGCTTCACCAAATCATGTGGTGAAATTTGGTGATGCTTCAGGCATTTAGCAGCGATTTAGCAGCAAGCCTTGTGTTAATGAGTTAGATACCTGAATCAGGGACTGGTTATTTATTGTATGGCGGGTGGGTTGGTTAGATTGGAAGGATGGATTGTGTGTATGTGTGTGTGGACGGGGGGTGGGGAAATGGGGTGAGGGTGTGGGTGGGTAGTAAGGGGTTTGAATAAAATTGCACTGTTATGTTTTTAACTTTGTTTTTTTTTAACATTGTTTAAGGACTGGTCACTTATTCCGGGACTTAAAAGGACCAAAATATTAATTGCTTGACCCGCTGTGCAGATTCTAGGGAAGAATATGTCCTACATACCTGGGGACTCTATGGCAGAATAGACACTCACTGCTTCACTCCCTTTGGGGAATGTATGGCAGATGAAGTCTCAGATACCTGATGCTTGACAAATGTTGGATTTGTGGGACAGAATAGGTCATTGACATCCAATGCTTGACTGTCTGTGGGGGTTTAGGGAAAGAACACTCAGTGCTTGACTCCCACTGGGATTCTGAAGACAAGACCCTGCAAATGGAATCTGTGATTACGACTTGTCTAATCACACCAATCATGGTCATTCATGCTATCAATCTTCTGGATCATGGATTTATTGACCGGTTATCATGACATGACCAGAAATACCAGCACCCAACAACATTCATACATCCACGTCTCTCTTCCAGGCAACATAGAGTTTGACTCTGATTCTTCTGGCTATGGTGAGATGGCATTCGAGGACAGCTGCCAGTTCTTGAAGGTTCTTCGTATCTACTATGTGAGGAAACAGAAGGTGACCCCACTGGACGCCACGCCCCCTTCGAACATGACCAGCAGGCTGTTTGTCCCCGTCCGCAAGAACCAGACAGGAAAAGTCTTTGAGTGTTTCTCCAAGACCATGCAGAGAGTCATAGCCTGGCTCAATGTCACACGTTAGTAGTCGTTGTTGTCAGTAATACCATATTTTGTTGAGTATAGTTCGCACTCAAGCATACACCCAAAACTTTCAAAGTGAAATTTTCTCGTACCAAGTTTTTAAACGTAGTATTTTTGTTCTTTTAAATGTCGGCTAAATTATCTTACAATCGCCAGCGGCTGAAGGGATGGTATAAATCCAGCTAGGCTCCATGCAGGTAGCAAAAGTAATGTAAGTCCCCATGGTTCCTAGATTGGTGATCTACCTTCAGTTGTTCGCGATCTATAGCCCGTGTTTTATATTGTATTGACTTCTTTAATTAAAATGTTTGAGCTTTGTTTGCTAGTTTTATATTATATCTATGATTATCTAGTATTTTTACTGTCCATCGTCTACAGGTTTTAATCTTCAAAATATTTTCACTTTTTATTGTATAAATTGTTTTCGTCACGATATGGCTGAGATATTGCTGATGTGACGTTAAATATTCACTTCACTCACTCACTCACTCACTCACTCACTCACTCACTCACTCACGCACTCAAGCATACACCCCTACTAAGGATTCAGTATTTGGGAAAAAAACATTTCCAGTTTTGTTTCCATGGTTACAGAGACCCCACTGCTCAGTATGGAGTCTGTCCAGTACATGGTGAACCCAGAGAGTTGGGGAACTGGGGTTGCTGAGGACAGAGTGGATACTATCAAGAACCAGTCCAGTGGGAGATATCAGCTCACCTGTATCAGGTATGTTCCATGCAGAATAGGTCTCAAGTAACCAATTCTTGACTCCCATGGGAATTTCATGCAGAATAGTTCTCATGTAACCAATTCTTGACTCTCATGGGAATTCCATGCAGAATAGGGCTCAAGTAACTCCCCTTTGAGTATGAAATTCTCCAGGGTTGACTTTGCTGGGAATTCCATGCAAAGTCGTAACTGACCACGTGGCCTTAAGAATATATAGGTTGCTAGGGGCAACAGGGAATTCTCAGAGGTAAGGATTTTCTCCCTATGCAACCTGTATTTATGGTAAGAGGTGACTCAAAAGATTGGGTGGTGGGGCGGGGTCACAAGGTTGATAATGTTTCATTGTGCCTCAGGGGTGGTGGGGTAGCCTAGTGGTTAAAGCGTTGGCTTGTCATGCTGAAGACCCGGGTTCGTATCCCCATATGGGTACAATATGTGAAGCCCATTTCTGGTGTCCCCCACGGTGATATTGCTGGAATATTGCTAAAAGCGGCGTAAAACCAAACTCAGTCAGTCAGTCATTGTGCCTCAAGGGTGTGGACAGATACCCACAATACCTCGTAGTGTAATGATCCTGCAATACAGTATATGGCGTTATGAGGTGAGGTGAAATTGGGTTTAAGGTCGTGCTTGAGAATATTTAGCTCATATGACGACGTGCATGCGTGTGTATGTGTATGTGGGGCTGCTTGTACTAGCCCAGACTTAAGATGGTTTTATAGTGCTAGCCCACTGAGATACCATGCCGCAGTGAAGCATGAATACCCCACCCAGACACTGACTCCGAGCCGACCAGTCCTTGTTGTACCCATAAATGCCGAGCTCCAGGCAGGGACCAACAAGTACCATATTTTAACGTCTTTTGGTATGACGCGGTCGGGGATCGAACCCGCGACCTTCCGCTCTCCAGGTGGACGCTCTAACCACTACACCACGGAGGCGGTCATATGGCATTATGAGGCTTAGTATACAACATTGATTACAACTCCTGTATCGCAATACATATGATACATTACATTGTATTGATGCAAAATGTGAACAATAACAAACACTATTCAAGAACCAGTTTATGCAGATTCTCCAGTATTTCCTTGATGTCTATAAATAGAATAATGTACACAGTGCCCCAAGCTTATGTGTCTCTCCAATACAATATCCCATCTTAGCTATCGGAAATTTGAAAACAAATGGTTCAGGATAGTGATTCACTTGCCAAATGGGAGAGAATATGGGCTTAGCAAATAATAGTACTTAATTATGATACAAATCATATGGTACAGATATTATCAGGATACGCATCGTATCGTGACCTCACCATGTCATTATGACTCTTATAATATCAACCACTGGTTTGACGTGCTCATAAAGCATTGCTTTCGTCACGCTGAAGACCTGGGTTCGATGCCCCACATGGGTACAATCGCGTGAAGCCCATTTCTGGTGTCCCCCGCTGTGATATTGCTGGAACATTGCTAAAAGAAGCGTAAAACTAAACTCACTCACTCACTCACTCTTGCTCATTAAAGGGATGATGTCATGAAGGTGGATTATTGCTACATGCAGTGTGTAACAATAACAATAACAAACTGACCAATCAGATATTTCTATTGTAGGTTGTACTTCCCGCAAGACTTCGAGGAGCCCTCTCCAGATCTGTTGCCCCCCACGAAGGAGGATGAGGAGGGTTGGATGTGCGTTATATCTTAGGATGGAGGCCATATCTAGACCATATGTTTCATGTGGGAACATCAACATTGTATATAGCTGTGGACAACAGTTGTGTGGGGATTATCAGAATGAATGTGTCATGGAATTTACATCCTGGAGTACTGAGTACTAGTCTTCTAGATGCATACATCGCACACAGACAGATAGACACCCAGTCCACAGCCTGGCAACCACAACAACAACCACAACTAAACACACAGAAACAGCCACAGACACAACCACAGACACAACAACCACAGACACAGACACAACAACCACAGACACAGACACAACAACCACAGACACAGACACAGACACAGACACACAACCACAGACACAGACACAACAACCACAGACACAGCCACAGAAACAGACACAGCCACAGACACAGCCATATATCGCGGACAGACAGACACCCCATCCACAAACACATTCACCACTGACACACACACCCAGACACAAACAGTGACAGACAGACAGAAAGATATATCTACACACATTCACAACAGACACAAAGAGAGAGACACACACTCACACACACACAGATGTACACACATGCCCCATCTCGCCTTCCTCCCCCCAACACACTCAAATTTGATTTGTCAATTTTTGGCAGTGGACAAAATATGTCTTATTGTACATATGGTAAAAGAAATATTGATATATTCATCTAATTCACTGATGAGCACTGCTATGCCATTTAAAGCTATATATCATGATATATCCTGAGATTACGTTTGGGTGTGAGAGGAGCTTGTTTTGTGAAAGGATGACGTCCTTGCTTGTATCTCATGACATCTTTGTTTGTTATTGACCGTTATGCTTGTCAGTATTACAATTGAACCCATGCCAACCTCTTGTGATAAGCACTTTTGTTTCATGTCCGCAGATCTCAATAAAGCATTTTCCATGTCCATTTGTTCCTTGATCGTGAGGGTTTCAATAGTGCTAATAATGTTACGCACGTCAGTCATCACCATGCCATTCATCATAAGTGGACACAACGTGAAAGACAGATGAACCTTGTTCCATGTCCAGTTGACTACCTATGTCACAGGATATCTCTTCCAGTCGCGTAGCTGGTCCATTATACTGTATTTCTTTGAAGGAGTTGTTCTGTGAAATAGTGTTTACGAGATAGATTTGTCCATTATCCATGAAAACTGGAAATATTTGTTTCCGAATGGGATTTATTCCATGCGGAACTGATCAACGTTGTCACAGGCTTGGACCAGGCATTTCTGCAACGATGGTCCCCATTTTGATTTATCCCAAGACGTTCTAAAATGTTCAGAAATGCATGATTTTTACATTTTAATTTTAATCTGTTCCATTGCTACATGCGTATCATTATATGGATTGTTTGATGATGATGATGATGATGATGATGATGATGATGATGATGATGATGCAAGAAATTGATTTCAATGACTATTTATAGTTTCACAATGTCAAGTTCATCTTTTGTTTTCATTGATGTTTCACAAGTCAGTATCTCCAGACTGATATAAAACTACACTACTCAAAAGCAAAACTGGTGTTTATTTCATTTGTTTTGCTGTCAGTCATTACCATTTTATGTGAAGTACAAATTTCAGTTTACATTAGGGCAGCTCTCTTTAGTTATTTAGTCACTATGCAAACTGATTTATGCAGGAACTATTTTGCTGTAAAATGTCTTGCTAATTAAGGCAGTTCTGTTTGATAGGATGTGGTTTTGACATATCTTAGGTTCATTGCAGGTTTGAAAGCCTATTTGTGTGGACCCTGTGAATCTGGAGTTTGTGGACAGTTGAAAGTCTGTGACAGTCAATAGGGACATTGCTATCTGTTCAGTAGGGTAGCCCAGTAGTGAAAGCGTATGCTCACATGGGGACAACCCTGTGTCTATTGACACAAGGTTTCTCTCCGAGTTTCTCATGTCAAACTACAAGTGATAGTTGATGAAGTGAATTACCAATAGTGATATTTGGTACACTTTCAAGTATCAAGCCAAATTGTATGTATATAGTATTTATAGGTTAACTGAACTGTAAACACGCCACAGATAACTGATCATTTTCAAGACCTGTTTTAGAAGATGTTGTGTTCTTATTGAATAACCCACAAGATGTTAATGATCAAGGAGAATATGTAACATGTGAAATTGAAGCGTTTGAAGTTCTGAGCATAATGGATCCCTTCCCTGAAAGTTGTTAAGTCCTTTTTTTGGTAATTACTTGGTTTATGGATGTTTAAAAAAATTATTAGGTCGGTAGGGAGGAAAAAGAAATAAAAGGGAATCTGGAGATGCTATTTGCACACTTAAGTATATGGTGGTGTTATGAGTTCTGACGATGTGTGTAACTGTCTTTTGTAAAGTATGAAATAGTTTCAGAGAATATTTGAAAGGTATAATTTGCTATTTTGTTGTTTTATTTATTTTTCACTTTCTTTGTTTTTTTTGTCAGGTCGGTTGCATATAATGGCAAAGAAAAATGTAAAGCAATTATTTTTTTACCATTTTCTTCACATTTCGGATCGGCGGATCAGTAAACCAAGTAATAAAAAACAATGCCTAAGTGTGGAATGAAAACTGTTTAGAAAATAGACTGTTAAAATATTCAGTAATATAACATACACAGAATATTCAGATCATGGGAAGATAATTGTTCCTTTGATTTTCTCCATAGAAAAATGATTTGCGTGTAGTTCATATTGACAGTGGATTTATAGAAATTTTACAGGGAAAATGTTTTAGGATTTGGATTAAATAGACTATGGATGTGTATTTTTCATGTCATCATGTCAAAGATGTCATACCAGAGAAGATGTCATAATGATATCCTACTGGAGATGATGTCATACCAGAAATGTCATGATGATGTCTTACAGGAGATGATGTTATGACGATGTCATACCTTATGTGACATGACGATGTCATACCATCTTCACATCTTCATGTTAAATCCTTATGCCTCAGTTTGGTTCTGATTTGACCAATGTTAGGGTCAGTTTGATATTATTTTATGTGAACATCGAAAAGAGCTAAATTGTATATGTTACATCTAAAGATTGTAAATCTCTGTCATGTTTTGTGACTGCTGGATATTAAAACACTGCTGAGACATGAACTGTGTGATGTGTTTTGCAACATAACCAAAGCTGGATATTGTCAGTGGTCATTTTCATTCATTTACTTGAAACATTTCTTCAACGAAACATAAAACACCACATTAAAGTTAGAATTTTCAAGTAATTGTCTTGAGGGGGTTTCCAGTGGGCTTTGTTGCTGGCATTTGCAGTGAGGAATTCAGAAGTGGTGGGGTAGCCTAGTGGTTAAAGCATTCGCTCATCTCACCGGGTTCGATTCCTCATATGGGTAGAATGTGTGAAGTTCATTTCTGGCGTCCCCAGCCATGATATTGCTGGAATATTGTTAAAAGAGCCGTAAAACTAAACTCACTCACTCACTCAGAAGTGAAGGCCAAAACATTAAATGTCAGCTGGGCCCTTATTCTCGAAGCGTTCGTAGCCCTAAGAATTCTTAACTTTGATCGTAGCCAATGTGTTAAGAATGGGCTTAAAGAAGTTCGTAGGGCTACGGACGTTTCGAGAATAGCTAGCCAGATTCATAAGTTTGTAAGATTCCGACTTTAACATGAGCATGTGTTCGTGAACCATTAACAAATAGTGATGATATCAAGTTTTTCCGAGAACTTGAACATGTCAACCCCACCGGTGGCGCCCGTCATACATGCAAAGGCAAGTCAACTATCCGCCTAAAAACACATATGCTAAAAGTAAAACACCATGGATTAAAGGTTTAATGTGTTCATCAATCATTAACAAATACTGCCGATACCAAGTGTTTACCAAGGTGACCGTCTTTAATGGTTCTGGGTTCTTGTAAAGACGGACCGCCTCCATGGTGTAGTGGTTAGAGCGTCCGCCCGGAGAGCGGATGGTCGCGGGTTCGATCCCCGGCCGCGTTATACCAAAAAGAATATGGTACTTGTTGGTCCCTGCCTGGCGCACGGCATTTATGGGTACAACAAGGACTGGTCGGCTCGGAGTCAGTATAATGTGTCTGAGTGGGGTATTCATGCTTAACTGCGGCATGGTATCTCAGTTAGCTGGCACTATAAAACCAGCTTAAGTCTGGGCTAGTACAAGCAGCCGCACATACACACGCATGCACGTCGTCAAATGAGCGAAATATTCTCAAGCACGACGTTAAACCCCATTTCACCTCACCTCTTGTAAAGACCGTAGACGCGTTAAGCATCTTTAAGATGTAATTTGATAACTTGATCTATAAGATGATTACATCCTTGACCATGTCTCCAGCTGAAGTGATGTCACTGATATACTCATCGTCATTAGAACTTGATGACTAAGAAGACCCTCAACGTCAGGGTACCCGCGTTACCTTTGAGTGAGTGAGTATGTTTACGCCGTTTTTAGCAATATTCCAGCAATATCACGGCGGGGGACACCAGACATGGGCTTCATACACTGTACCCATGTAGGGAATCGAACCCGGGTCTTTGGCGTGACGAGCTGACCCTTTAACCATGAGGCCACCACCGCCTCGTTGCCTTTGAGGTCACGTCAGGTGTGATGGGTCCGCGGCCATAGCAGGAGTCGGATATTTATAAATAGACAATATAGCTGCGATGTGTGTGCGGATCTTCACTGTGTGAGTGAGTCATAGTTTTACACCTTTTTTTAGCAATAGTCCAGCAATATCACGCCGGGGGCACCAGAAATGGGGTAGCCTAGTGGTTAAAGCGTTCGCTCGTCACGCCGAAGACCTGGGTTCGATTCCCCACATGGGTACAGTGTGTGAAGCCCATTTCTGGTGTCCCCCGCCGTGATATTGCTGAAATATTGCTAAAAGCGGCGTAAAACTAAAACTCACTCACTCATTGCCGTGTGGAGCACGCCGTCTACATCTATACCCATCCAAACAGTTGAACCTATGTTGACATAATCTTAGGCATGCATGCAGTAGTCTAGATACGAGGAAAGCCTTAAATCTCCAAAATGAAAGCTGAATCGACGCATTTGGACATGGCGCTGATCATGGTTTTGGCATTTTCAACCAGGATGGAGTCCCATGACGACCACGTTTTCATACAAAAAAGAAGAAGAAAAACACCAGAAGAAATATTTACCCCATTAGTATATCATTTGAGTACTTTACATGAGAATGGCAGGTATCCACAATCGTCACTCCCAAAATTACTTTCCGAAGTTGGTTTCAATCAGGTTGTTGAATTCTGGAACAAAATCCAAA